TCCAAATGGAACACATCAAACTAAATCTTAAGTGTAGCCATGTTTTTCTGAGTCAAAAAAAAAAAAAAATATGAAGAGGAGGATGACAGTTATCTACAGTGGGCTTGAAAACACAACACTAATATAATGAAACAGCACGGATTGAACCCAGGCCAGTTCACACAGAACCCCTTGCTCAGCCTCAAGTCTTGTAAAGAAGATGTGTTCATGGTAAAAAAAAAAAAAAAAAAAAAAAAAATATATATATATATATATACACATATATATGTATATATATATATATATACACACACACACACACAAATTTACATATCGTTAGGAAGAGAGTATACTTTAAAACGTGATGGCCCTGGTTTGAAAAATAAAATGCATTGTTCTCATTTGCAAATTTAGGTCACCTTTACCCAGGGAGGAGACACACCTTTGAAGTGGCAAACATTCCGAAAGAACACACATATTTAATTCACATCCTCTAAGTTACTTGGAGGCATTAAAGTCCCCCAAAATGACTTTAGGTAGAGCATATCTTCAAAATATATACGTAATGAATCTCTTACAAGAATTGTGTTCAAAGCGTGAATACAATGCCTTTGACATATAAACAAAATGTGGTTTTTCTAAAGTGCCCCTGACTTCAATCATCTAAAGAACTTTTAAAAGGAAATTTAAGTCCAATGGAGCTTTATGGCCCTTATATTTAATCTGCTAATAGCATCATCTCAAAAGAAAAGAAAAATCAAAATATATAGTGCAAGTGCATTTAAATCCATTCAACACAGTTAGACTTAAAAATTAAAATATATTGTCTATTTTATTATGCACAACAGAGTCAAGGGCATCAGCCAACTGACCTGATAATCCAATAAACTGTGTAGAAGGCATTTATGCCTAGATAAGAGCTCAGGGACAGCTGCATAGTGAGCTATTTAGCATCACAAACACACTTAGCAGAAGCTACTCAAGGATGGCTGTCACTGGGACACATTTAGAAGAAGAGCTAGCGGGTTGATAGGTTTTGGTTTAAAAGGGAGGCTTTTATGAGAGATTATAAATATTGATTTCACTGAAGGAGTCAGAGCAGTTTATGTGTGTGTGTGTGTGTGTGTGTGTGTGTGTGTGTGTGTGTACATAATGCCAACCTTTCCATTTATATCACTGGGCTAGTCCTCAATGGGATCTAAATGTCAAAGTTTTCCAGGGCAATTTTGAAAGACCCTTTGGGAAACAATTTGGAGATTATTTATTTCTTCTAGAAGGACTTGTGCTTTTGAGGATGCAAGTAATAATTTGTACACAAGAGACCATGCTAATGTGTTTGCTGACTTCGATGGAGGCCCCCTCTCATCCACAGGGAAGGCCACATTTCATTTAGCCCTCTGATGACTGTAAGTTGATGACCCACAGGACCGTGCTCCAGAGGATGCAAAATACAAAAAGCAAAGCACAGAGAGCTCTTGCCCTCAAATACACCCCACGCCCAAAAGACAACCGAAATCGAAGAGGGAGAAAGAATGTATCAGAGCACTAACATTTACCCAGAAATATACCCAAGTAGTTCAATGTTCTTATGAACAGTGCACAGGACTCAATGTGACACACAATGCATTTTCCTCATGCCAAGGTACCAAAGAACTGTGCTTTTCTTGCTTCTGTAATCTGGTTACTTCTGACATAAACAGTAAAGCTGGCACTATTTTCTAAACAAGGGGAATCTCTGACAGCCTACATTCCTGTTAGGTGAACTGTGAAAGTATGAATTCCTCCAAACAAGCTCTATATGCAGTACAAGGCATACAGTCCTACACACATGCATGCACATATACACACACAAGCACATGCATACATATGCATAGACATACATGCAGAAGACCCTGCTACAGGCAAGGGCAATTATATAATGCTGTCAGTACAGATAACCTCCCACAAATGAATTGACAGGGATGAGTGGTCTTGCTTTAGAGATGGAATTAGTCCTAGGGGAATTCTTTTTAAATAACTCACTTTGCCCAATTGGAGTTTCCGTGGTCATTCACAGACTTATGAATGAGTGAAGGAATTTATGACATACCCTGATCAATTCACTTATGTTAAGATACAACGTGTGTATGTAAAATAGAACTCTTGTACAGGTTTGTGGGACTGTAAAATAGAACAGCTGTCATAAAAACGTATTTGACGGTTTCTCACAAAACTGAAAAAATAAAACATGATTCCACAATCCCGTGTCCAGTATTTTCCATGACAAGCTAAAATTAGTATGTCTTGACCTCCATATATGTTGCAGCACTATCCATGATTACACAATCAGCCTAAGTGAATGACAGCAATGATAAAGGAAAGAACACCTAGTCCATATACAAAATTGAAGCAAGTTCAAGGCCAATCTGAGATACACAGAGAGTTCCAGGGCATTGTGGGCTGCAGAGTAAGACCTTATTGTCTCAAAACCAAAATTTGAAAATATGTGAGAAAAAAGAGACCAATAGTTCATGTTCTCACTTAGGTTTGGGTTGTAAAGCAATCAGACTCAACAGAGAGCAGAGGGAAGGTTAATGGAGAGAGAAAGTTGGGTTGAAGGAGGTGGTGGTCACAGACTTCCTGAGGAGTTGTATTCTTTACCTGAAATCTGCCACAGCGTGGTTCAGGCAGTTAATGAAGGCATATCGCACATCTCAAAGTTGCTGAGAAAATTACAAATGTTCTTACCACAAAATGGTTGAAATGAGTGGCCTACTGATTATACTGATTTAATCACTTCACATTGTACTCACAAGATCATTTCGTCCCACTAATATATGCAATTATCATTTGTCAATTTGCAATAAAAATGAGGTTTAAGAATATAGAAAGTATGCACTGGGGTTACTTTTCCACTTGCACATGCATGCCAGGTGCCTGAAATTTCTATACAGAAGAATAAATTCCACGATAAATTCTACTTCTGTTCTCCAAAGTCTAGGATTCATTTCTGATCATCCCCAAACCAAATGGCTTTGGCTACAACCACCCTGTCTTTTTGGATTCAAAACTCAGAAACATCCCCTGAAGACTGACCTCCTTTGATTAATTTTCACTTGCCAGGTTCATCTAAATTGTTCTTGAACTTGGATTTAATTTTTAACTAACGCTGCCTGTCAAGGTTATGAGTGTTGTGTCTTAGGCAAGTACGCACATTTCCTCCGGGTCATAACAGTCAGACTTCTGCCACCAACTCCTTCCTTCTCTCACTTTTAATAGATGTGTTTGTGTGTGCATTAGCCCTCCACACTGAGAGGGGGGCTTGACATCTGTGCCCAAGAGAGCATACCACTGCTATACAGCCTCCTCATTTATAAAACAAGAATACTAAAATCAATGATTAAAGCTAGTTTTCTAAAGGCTCAGCTTTCATTGACTGTTTTGAAGAAGATGTGATGATAAATATAGATGCTCATAAATATGAGTGCTTAGCAGTACTTTTTTTTTTCCATTTTAAATACCTGAAAAAATCCCCAGAGACAGTCAAAATGTCTTCGCGGAGAGTATTCAACTGAAAAGTCTCCCTCCGACTGTGCACCTCATTACTTGTTTATTTCTGCTGTAGCTGGTCCTTCCCATTTCCATTATTTCACTCCTCTCTACTGGTCATCTACACCTATGAGGGCTCATCACTGTATTGATGCTATTTTCACAGCCCTTTGCTTTGTTTTCCATAAAACGTTTACATCTTAAGAGATGGTGTGGCTGGGTGGTGGTGGCGCATGCTTCTAGTCCCAGCACTCAGGAGGTAGAGGCAGGTGGATCTCTGTGAATTTGAGGCCAGCTCGGTTTACAGAGCTAGTTCTAGGACAGGTTCCAAAGCAATACAGAGAAACCCTATCTCAAAAAACCAGAGAGAGAAAGGGGCGGGGGGGGGGTATGATGGCTATTATTTTGCAAGTAAAAGACACTCATATTAATTCTGCCGAATTTTACAACTTAAGTATTTCTTGGTTGATTGGTAACTTTTTAATAAGTAATCTGTCTTTTGTAAGACTTTGGAGAAATAACTCACGGTATCAGTCTTGAAGTAATGCATGATGTTCAAGTCTGAGCCCTCCTGTACATCCTAATCAAACACATAAGGAACTGACAAATGTTACCTCCCTTCCATTAACAATGTATATGTTATCAAAACCAAAATGGGGTTAGGAGGAGGGAAATTAACAACAGAATTAGCAATAGAAGCCTGTGGAGTTATTCTGTTGAAAGGTTCCCAATAAAATAACAGATACAGCCATGTGAGATACATTTCACTACCCTTATGCTAAAGACCTTTTAACTGGCTTCATCTCATGTGCCATCTATTAAATTGATTTTTGAAATCATCAGTCCTAATCTACTAATCGGTATGCACCTGTTGATGAACTCTGAGTTCTTCATTGTAATTCTTTTAAGTTTAGACACTGGTTGAAAGAAGCTGAAATATGCTCTAGTCAACTCTGGCTGCTTAGTGTGACAGTTTTATTAGATAGCTATATGGAAAGGTATCCATCAGGATGTCACTTGTAAAAAAAAAAAAATAGGTCTGACTTCTGGGAAAATGTGTAGAAAAATAGTCAAAATAAATTTGGAGAGTTGTAGAAGAATTGGCAAGATTGACAGCAATGAAAATTAGGGTAAAAACTTGGGCAAAAGAAAACTAGAACATCACTTCTGGATTGTTAAAGGCTAGATTATGAATATGATATCTTAAATTATTTGATGGTCTCTTCATTGTATTGCTTACGTTTAAACAATGTATGTACACCTCTTACAATATCAAATTATGCTTCTATTTAAAATCATTTAGATGTAATTTTGTAAATGTAATTATTATGTGAGATCAGACAAAGCTTCTATTTCTTACTCTGCTACCTTAGTGACTGCCTGTGTTCCTCTCTCAACCTTGTGAGTCTCTCTGAAAGAGAATAAGTTCATTTTCACCCAGAAATAATAATTCAGGTAACTGAACTTTTTGTATGATTGTTGATTCACTTTACCTGATTCTTGAGATCCAATTTGGGACACGGACGACCTCCACTGTAAGGTTTTTCTTTTAGCCATTTAGATCGAATTCTTACTCCGATCCCACAAGATGAACTGCAAGAACCCCAGCTGGACCAGTCACTTAGCTTGCAATCAAATGGGCAGGGGATGATGCATTCTTCTTGAACATAACCTGGAAGAAAAAAAAAAAAGCTTTCAGTGAATACAGGAAAGCACCAGATGTAGAAGTCAAATTCTCTTCTTCCATCCTCACAGCCTGGATTTCTCATCACTGTTGCTATGGTGCCTTCAACACATTTCCATTTGTAAGGAGAGCAAAGTTGGAAGAGACAGATAAATATGGTTCCACCTGGATCCAGTTTGTGTCATTCTGTTTACTTCATTCTGAATGGAAGGAAGTGCTCCTGTCTCTGGCAGTTTTTACTTCAGCTGAATTCTCCCCAGCTACTGAGCTAGTCAGGCCCCTGCCTGGCTTTCCCAGCTTCTTGCTCATCTCTTCCTGGAGGTTTTCTGAGAGCCTTATGTTCTGTGTTTGGCACAATGTCATCAGACCCCAGCCCCTGGGTCTATATTCTTAGGGATGCACTGACCTCCTGCCTGTCACAGGATCTCATTCTCATGATCAGCCTTCAATGGCCACAATGGAGGTCACTTGCAGGCATAATTCGTGTGTCAGTTTGGTAGACTGATGTGACTTATGAATGGATGTTCCTGACTCCTCAGCTCCAAACTCTCAAAGGAGGGCTGGTCCCTTTATGCAAATGGAAATTAAAGTCCACCTGAAAATGAGCTCTGCTGAAATCCTAGGGGAGCTAAGAGGAAGAGCTTCCCCTGACTGAGTCTGTGATGGAAGTTTAACCTTGAACCACCCATGATACCCTTAAGCAGAGAGGAGGGAAGCAGGTCCAGACTCCTAACCTACAGAAACAGTGGCATAAGAAAGGTTGCATTGAGTTACAGTCTCTGTGGCATTTGGTATATGGTGGTCAACACCCAGGGAATGATCCAAGTTGGAAATCTCTTATCTCCTTCAGTCATTCTGAACATATACCAACAGCTATCATAATTCCTGTGTCAAAAACCACAAACATTTCAGATGAACCACATGTCCTTTGCCAATCCCTGTTTCATACTGGACCCCTGGGATGGCCTAATATTTTTTGACTTGTCTCTTTCCCCTAATCATTCTCTCTCTCTCTCTCTCTCTCTCTCTCTCTCTCTCTCTCTCTCTCTCTCTCTCTCTCTCTCTCTCTCTGTATTTTTCAACCATTCTGAGAAAAGGGTACTTTTCAAAATATGAAATGTTGATGTTGCTCATCTCTTTAAATTCTGATGGTCCTCCAGAGGCTCCATTAAAAAAAGGGCTAATTTATGTTATAAAAGCAAAACAAAATGAACTTTTTTTTTTAAAATAGGGTTTCTTTGTGGCCTTGTGGCCTTGGAGGCTGTCCTGGAACTAGCTCTGTAGACCAGGCCAGGCTGGTCTCCAACTCACAGAGATCCACCTGCCTCTGCCTTCTGAGTGCTGGGATTAAATGTATACTGAGCTTTTTCTTATGAGAGGTTCATTCAAAGCAATGGATGGAATAACTTGTCTATGGAATAACTTCATTTGACCAAGGTACACCACATACCAGCTCGGCCTGAATCTCAAAAGATGGAGCCAAGGAAGATGTAGCTTTTAAAGACTGCAGGGTGACTCTGATGCCATGACAGTCTGGGGACCACCTCAAGCTTGCTATTTCTCCTCTCCTTCTACCTCTAGTATCTTGAATTCTGCCTTTACAAGGTCCCCCAGACTCGCCTTTTCGGATGCAAATTAAGCCTGTCTTTACATGTCAGCATCCTTAGTTCTGACTTCAGCTTCTCTCCTCTATTATGACCAATCATCTTTTCCCAGAGTCCTTCTGCCAAGCCAGAGGCTAAGCTTTCAGACTTTGTTCAGCCCTTCATCCCCTGTGCTTAAAATAGGACAACCATCAGAGCTAGGAAAGTGCTGAATGAGTACTGAGGGCACTTCATCACATACTCTGTCTTAGCCTAGTACTCCAATGGCCTGGGAATTCTTCCGAGTTTCCTTCTCATTCACAACAGACCTTTCAAACCTTCTCCATTTTCTTTCCACTTAAACAATTACTTCTCCCACCCTGGAAACAACAGGAAGGCTGGAGCAGAATTCCTTCAGAGTCCTATGATATCATCCATACGCAATGCAGATCTATTACTTCTTTGTTTGTATTCAGCTGGAAAGGCACTCACTTTGTTATAGAAGGCACATTCTCCACCTTGACCTGATTCCCCCAGGTCTTTGGACTCTTCTTGGACCTTTCTTCCTCTCCTCTCTCTCCCCTTCCCTTCCTCTTTCCCGTTTTTCTCTCTTTCCCTCCATCTCCCTCTCTCCTTCTCCTTCCGTCTTCCTGTCTCTCTCCCTGTTATTCTTTCTCTCTTATTTTATTCGTATGATTGCATTTTCCTTACAATACTATTACAATGGCTTGATGTTATCTAGGCAATACTTATCAATAAATGAACATACCACACTTCCTGAAGACAGAAAAAATTCCTCTGGAATTTAAATAAAAACAGCTCCCATTAAGAATGTTAAAAAAAATATTTTTTTTCGCTGTTTAAAAGCCTTAATTCTGTAGCCATTTCTAATGAGTTTTTATAAACAACCAGATATTAGCAACATAGTCAAAGTTACACCAATTATTAAAGAGGTGTCTCACACACATTATATAATTTACAGAAAAAATAAGTCACAAAGTAACTTCATTGGCCACCAAACAAAAAGAATAGGATCAGAAATTAGCATTTATTCTCATGGTATGAAGACTTCAAATATGAATGTACAGACTATTTCACACAAACATTAATATCTGAGTATCCATGTAGTTCCTATTTTAAAGCACACTTTAAACCAGACATCCTTATAATTAAGTGAGACTTTAAATTATCTTCATCTCTGCTGCACACGGAAGGAGTTTAATCAGCCAGCCTCTGGCAGTAACTTTTGTACTCTTCCCATGATAAGGGGTAAACCCAGAGGATCCTCATGAAAGTCAAAGTTATAAATTCAATGAACATAAAATAATTTTGAAATTCAGCAAGACTAAGCAACAGTGGCATTTATTTTTGAGGAAAATGTTCATGCTAGAATATACCCCAAAGGGAAGTCCATAGTGAAAACAATTAATAACTGCATATTCTTACGCCTGGCTCATAATTGAAAAGATTAGTTTTACTCTCACACTTAATGCATACAGATTTTTGGCAATCAAGTTGGTTGAAATATAACTATCACCATGTTGACCTTCTATATGAGAATTCCATTAAGTAACGGTTGAAACCATACAAATGTTTTAGAAACTAATTTTCATATACTATATGACAGAATAGCTGTTTCCTGCTAGATTATTACTCCACTGGCAACATTCATATGTCTAAAGTCAATTTCTGTGAGGGAAGATTTACCAGAACTGTATTTTCTCCTGGAAGTCATATGCAGAACGCATTACTTGGACCACTGACTGAACCAGGGAAAACTTGTGGCTAGCTCTATTTCACTAAAGTGCACAAATACAGAATTAGATGTGAGGTAATCAGAGCAGAATTATCTGTGCAGCATGCAATCAGTTGTAAACAATATATATGGCACACAAAGCAGGTGAGCTAAATGGCTTATTATGAACGAGGATGGATTGATGAGGGTCCTTTATTACCATCTCTATGTATGATGGAATTGGAGGTATTTGTTCACTGGTATACAGAGAGACAGAATAGAATGGCTAGACCTTTGTCACTAATCCCCAAGCTTCCTCACTGACATGCATTAGGATGAACAGTTCTAAATACGATGGTTCCTTTAACGCAGCCACTTCCCAGGCTTTTTGACTCATGTGCCTTACTTCCTTCCCTAACACATTTTTCTCCCATTAAGATCTTGTTTTGGAGGATGTGAGAGAGGAAAATATTGATGACATGGAGGCCAAGAAAATAACCGAGGATCCACTTGCATTTTCTTACTCTCTAAAGCAGTAGCAACAAGCATCATATTTGGCAGCTCATGTCTTGTATTCACTGTCTCGGTGCTCAGATGATCAAAATAGGGAATGGAAAATGTTCTCAAAATGCTAAATCATTTAAGATCTGGTACAATCATGAGTTAAAATCATATCATACTCTCATTTCCCTGTTTCAAAGATCTGCTGCTTTAATTTTACATTTTAATACTTTGTGGTTTGTTATTTATTTAGTAAATTTTTTTTTTATTTAGTAAAAATGTAACAAGTTAAAACCACATTGAACTCTTTAAGGAATGTTTTCATCGGAGGGGGGAAAATTATTACAGGTATGTTTTAATATTCATTTTAAAAATAAAAATAATTTAGAACAATATTTCCACTGTCTAAACATTTTAGAGTTGCAGGTACATAAGATATAGTATATATAGGGTTATGGTATGCTTTACACAACTTATGCTTTTGCTGTGGAATGATGCTAAGAAGAGTAGCTGCCTGATCTCAAAGACAGTTTTATCATTGCTCAGGTCCCTAAAATGCTAGAGAGGGCAGAATTGGAATTGCCAAATGTTTGATAATCTCCTCTCTTGAAATATTTAAAATTTTAAAATGTATTTTGAAAATACTGTCATTTGACAGGAAAGCATTTTTACTCAATTAGGTAAACATCAAAGATATTAGAACAGGCAACTATTTCCTGGATAGGACTCTGCCAACTCAGGAGACAATAACAATAATTAGCAAGTTTGTGCCAAGCTTGAAATCTTTCTGCATAGCAAACTATACATAGAGTGAAAAGACAGACTTAAAAATGGGATGGCCTTTTAATAGCTATTCATTTAACAAAGGATTCATATAAAATAGCAAACGAGAATTTGAAAACTGAACACCAAAGAATGAATAATATAATCAGTTATTAGGCATAAGACTGAATAGAGAGTTCTTGAACTAATTACATATGACCTACAATTACTGAAAACCATCTTTAGAATCTTTGACATTGTGGAAATACAAATTGAATATTAGAGATTTCACATCAGCTCAGTCAAAATCAATTTTAAAAATGCTAGTGAAGAATGCATTTGTACTGTTGTATGAATGTAATGAAGTCCAGGTAACACTGAAATCACAATGGAATATGGCAATTCTT